GGAAGTTGCTCGCTATCGAACAGCGATAGCGCCGTTCCCGCTATCGCTATTCCGCTATTCACTCGAACTTCCGATATCGCTATTCCGCTATTCGCTATTAGCGGACTAGCGGAATAGCGCGCTATTGCCCAACACTGATAAAAATCATAACATTCATAACCGTTAATATGGTAAAAATCCTACTAAACATACTAATGTTAACGTGAACATTAATGATGATAACATTACAAAGGCTAACAATAAAGTCTGATAAGATTTATATCAGTAAGGATAACAATGTATGAAGAACCACAACTATAAAATATCGTCCATTACGACTATACAAAAATGGTTTTGCAATTCATTTCTAGAGAACATGGCAATTAAACAACGAATAAACGATGATTCCTCAACATTTCTGTTCAAAACATCAATTCAGACTTTTGAAATCTTCGACAGTAAGCATAAATACATTGTCACGCACTGATCTCATTAAAATGTTCGATTATTTCGATTCTCTTATTAAGCTTTTTGTAATACGAACACAATTTTCACATAACGAACTGAACACCATCAATATGGTTTTATGCTCTATTGCGCATTCGGTTTCACTTTAGCCAGCACACAGTACACCCATATACCTTTGATGAACGAAAACGAATTCATGATTTCCATAAGCTTGAGCCTAAACTTTAATCTCCATTCTCAAGAACTTAAACAATCTCGATCCTCAAACAAGTGAACCGTGCTTGGCCAAAGTTTGGAATCACCAAATACACAATTTTACAAGATTATGCACTTTCATTTAGAATCTCTTTTGATTGATGATAACTTTTAACGATTTTCGATGATACTTTCTCCAATTCTTGTAAGAAATCGTCCACTTGTTTACTGATCTCTTTCAACGGATTTGGCTGAAAGTTGATTGACAAAGACAAAACAGAACATGAAAAGAACTAGCAAAATAAACACTCCAACTCAAATAATTCCCTGTGTGAACAATTTGAATTCAAAAATAGGAACATTATCTAATAAAAAGTAATTCTTTCGACTGAAAATACAAGATATCTTCGATGGTGAAGTTTCTCGTGTCCACACTAATACCAAAAGATAAAAATGAAATTTCGATACCTTAACATCGCTGTCCGTTTGAGGCATTATCGACGAATAATCGGGCAATGACCTCCGCGACGGCCGTAAATGAGAGGTCTGTGTTCGGCTAAGAAAACTTCTTTGACTCGAAGACAATCGATTCAACGGAGTCATCGCAATGCAAGAGAGTTCTTTGACCCAGATGTGATTACCTTAAATACATAATATTAACGAAGAACACAAAAATACAAATATACAATCCATATTTCAGGAGATTTCCCTTCAGAAATTCAAACGACACTGACACGATGAAACATGCCAGCTGCAACAAATTTTGATAAAAATGATACATACCATTTAATTTTGGCTGTATAAAGGAATTATTGTCCATTGGTGTACTTGTTACGAGTGGTGTTCTCAAGTAAGGCGCTACAGAGGACGACGGAAAATTCGATTCAGATTCTATAATGAAACAAGTTGAGCGCAATTATTTTGCACTGTTTTCGCACACTTAAATATGAAATCCATAACGGAAATATCTTACATGAGATCATATTTTTCAACGGATCTAAGCAACAATAACATTACTGCTGATGATTTGCAAAAATAATAAGAAAAAAATATTTTGTTTTATCGTTAATCAATTGTGCTACTCCAAAGTATTCCGTCAACATGCTGACGCTACGAAATTCAATGCCATCATTAGAACATTCCACGTTAAGAATTCACACAACAACTAAAATAGATGCATTCTTCTGCAAACTTAGGTTGTCCTGAATTTGTAGTTTAAATAAATAAATTTCACCAAAAATAAATAAATGAATACCTTTCATAGGTTCTAAATCGCTTAACCGAGGTCCGAATTTCCTTCGTTCCATTTCCATTTGATTTTGAAGGACTTCTCGGAATCCGAATGGGTCCGACGGGGAATTTCTCGAAATTTGTTTCCATGATCGCTTACGGAACTGGATCATTGTCGAGGGCTGCATACTGAACTCCTAAAAAGGGATTACCCACTAGAATTTCGAAAGGATATCCACTGAAGTTGAGAATCAGAATGACTCGAAATTTGCAATACCCTGAGGAAAATACGGAATTCGAAAGTTTTCTCATTCATCAAAAATACGCCCTTCCCATAACGGTGAGCAGACCTTTGCGAATTTATTTCTACAGATGCGTAATTCTGTCCATTGCTTCCAATGATCGAACGCTTGCTTTACGATTCGTTCCCGCCGCTTCTCTTGGATTCGATTCACTTTTTGTTCAATTAGAATCTGAATGTTCGAGGAAATTGAATTCGATGTCTTTCGTTATAAAATACATGAAATTTACAAATGAAATATGAAAAACACTTTGTAGAAAAACAAACAGATGAATAAATAAAAGCAGAGGGAATTGTCAGAAAAGTACGTACTGATAAAATAAGTGAACATCAATTGAACAATGTAACTTACCGAACTGAAATCCTGTGGAATCGAACGTTTTTCAAGTAAATTGTGACCCTTGATGCGCAACATTGAATATGCTGAAATGTACTGGATGATACTACAAAAACACTTCGACTTGGCTACATAACACTTCTAAGAGAATTTTTCTTTTTTCCTTCTCCTTCTATTTTTCTTTTTTTCTTCTTCTTCAATAATTCACCACTTCCATTTTGAAAATTTTGGAATTTTATTTCATTTCAACAATCAGCAGTTGTCTTATTTCCAACTCTTTCTTTATCAGAACTAGTCGTTAAGTGAGCTGTTACAAAGATTCAAAATAACTCACCTGGTGGCACACTAGGAAATGCAGCCAAAATTTCATATTGCTTGCGCTCTCGTTCACGTTTAATCTTCACTGAATTTCGCCACGTATCGAAAAATTGTTTAAGCCACAGCCTAAAACATTCAATAGCAATCCAACAGCAACAGCAATACTATCAGCAACGAGAGTGATGCTTTTTGCTATCACACCCAGGTAATTCGATGCAATACCTGCATTTAAAGCCCTAAATGTTGAGATACTCCCAATTTAGCAAACTCAAATTTCCCACGTATACTCCAATAACTTTACAACAATTGATACAGATTCATAACAAATTTATCATAAACGAACAAAGATCCAAATTTCTAACTTCAAAATTTAAAAAAAGCACTAAACTCAATAATTTATTAACGAACCTATCAAGATTTTGTGCGATTTGATGCAAACGACTTTTCACATCATAAACATTCTCCTTCATCGACAACGCACACAACGCGTTCAATTCCGTATTGATAACTTCTCCAAGAATATTCTCACTCACTTTTGTTGAAGTCTCCCTTATCACATTCAAAAAACGATCATGATGAGCAAGCCTGAAAGAAAAATTCCACAAAATCTCACACGAAAACAGCTTAAATTAAATTTCCATCTGCATGAGCACAAATTTCCATCATGACAACAACGAAAGGAAATGAGAACGAACCTCATTGCTTTACGAGCACCTTTGTCCGCCACGGCAATAATCACCTCATCTGTTAATCTCATCAAAATTTCGTCCATCACATCGCGGATCATCTTCTTTCGATTCTCATTCGCTTTTTGTGCTTGTTTGTGACGATGCAAGATTTTCAACGACATCAGTACCTCTTGACAACGCGGCCTAAATTATTGATTCCATGTAAATTCTATGCACATCTCATTGTGATGATTCCATACAGTTTCGTCAAATTTTACCTCACTATTATTTTTATCAACACCTTGTCACAATCACTATTATTCCTGTTATTTGAACAACTATAAACAATCGTATTATAAATACAATCAATTGAAAATGAAACTCACCTCACGCACTCATCAACAACTCTATTGAAAGTATCTTCTGTAACCGTCTCTAGAAGCGTAGCTCGGGCGGCTTTTTGGACCAAATACTCGGAGGTTTGCTGGTTGGACGATTCGCTTTTCTCAGCCTTGCTCATCATCTAAGAAAGCAATCATTCAATAAAATAATTCTTCCATAATGATCACNTGCAGGTGGTTCTATTTTAAACTGAAACTTTGACGGTGCGAACGTAAACGATGACTTCGGGGCATCTGATTTTAACCTAAACGTATATTGACTGTGAATAAAAATTAATAATAATACAAACATCAAAACAAAGTGAGACACTGATATCAATAACTCTGAGCTTGTCTCTAAATAAATACAAGTCCACATAAGATTACTCAAGAAAACAGATGGTCTCGTCATCTAAGAAGTATTGTCAACTGCGTTGGAAAGGCGATGACGAAAAAACGAAAAAAAAGGACTACTTAGCGATAATCGAAGGAATTTACATAGTTGCAGTGAGTATCAGTGACTGATGATTAAATCAATTTTTGAATAGAAAAACGCTGACACAATATGTTTCTGATTACCATTGATATGCAATCTATTTGTAGGTTGAAAATATATAATTTCTTTGATCGATCACTCAACAGTTCGGCTTATAATGCCATCATTAGGGTTAGCACCAAACAGATCAACTATTTAGATCTCAATCAGATTATCAGTAAATAAATACTGCAAACAAGAAAGAAATTCAAATCTCTAGTCTACTGCAAAATCAGAATCTAATTGGGACGCTATGGAAAATTTCTGAAAATTCACTTGAATTTAAAAAACTCACCTGAAAGTTGCACTCGAAAAAGTATCCGAGGGAAGCGTTAGCGGGATTTTACCCGAAAATGGTGACAGAGATGCGTTTTCTGATCCAATTTTACGATTATCTACCATTAATCTCGGTTCCGTTTTCAACACCGACGGCATTTCGAACGAAGGTGCGCTCTAAACAAATTAATATTTTTTTGATATCAAAATGCCAACAATCGTTCATATTAGACACACAATTTCTATCAGAAAGTGAAGGAATAGCATCAAACATATCTTAATGCAAAAAGACATTTTTCAAAATCGTTACGTCGAGCACGAAAACACTCACAAATGGCTTCAAATCGTTGACAGGTTTCGGGAGTTCCATTCTCGGACGATCTTCTGGTGGAAAAGCCGATTTGGCGGCTGCTGAAGCACTCATCTCATCAGCTTCGGATTTTATGCTGAAATTGTTCACAATTAAACAGATTCTCAAACTGAATTCAAGTAACTTAATACAAAACACTGCCTCACAGTTAAGAAGATTCGTTCATTGCATATTCATTTATATGATGAGATTTATTCATATTCATTTATCACTCACTTTCAAACCACATTCTACAACTCACAGATTACACTATCGCTAAACACTTACGATTGAAACAAGCCAAATGGTTGATTGGCTACATACAGTAATTAGGATTGAATGTGACTCTTGATGAAAAACTTTGACCGTCTATGAACCGTTCACGAATCAAAACAAAAACTTACATTGCTTCACTTTGCGCATCCATAAGATATGCATTCAGCACAGGATCATAGATATATGCACCGGATTGATCAAATGAAACTATTGCTCGTGGCAGTTCCACACTGAGGCGTTCACCTCCGCTCAGAACCTAAAATAAAACGGAACCTTAAAGTACCAGTATAGAATGACACGAAAGCAGCCAATTGAATTAACGGCTTATTTCGATATTCAACGTAACAATCAAGGAAGTGTGAGTGAATTTAGCCTACGCAGTAAACTCATTTAACGATTTTATATCTCATCTGACCACAACACACCTCATCTTATAAATGGCTTTGACTGTGACTGTGATTGTCATCTAGACTCACTCTTAAACGTCAACTAACTGTCAGTGGTTAAAATAAACTCAATTATCCGAACTAAACTTATCTTTGTTTATATTCTATCCAACCTGATGCTTTAGCTTTAACTCACGATAAATTCGGTTAATCACTGAGAAATTCAATTACAGAAAACGATTCTATTTCCGATACTAATTCCGACTTCACATCAAAACAAACTAAATCAAATAAATCAAGAGATATAAAGAGAGCAAACCTCGGAAACTGCAGCCGTACCGCGTTTTGCCTCAATCCACGCGTGTATTCTCGGTGGAATCGGTTCATCGGGAAAATAGAAATTAGTTTTCGAAAGGATTACATTTTGCTCGTTATTATCACCGTCCAAATAAACACCGTGCAGACCGAGTGTGGTGCTCGCTTGTGTGATATCGTCGAAACCCAACAGTTCTGCTAGTTTCACGAGCGGGTACTGAAATCACTACCATCAAACAACAAATGCACAACGTTACCAATACACATCTCACCAATATAGTTTACTAACTCTTCAAATATAATATCAATTTTGCTCACATCATTCATCTGAAATCTCGCGTAAAGCTATGGTATATTTAACTGTAATAACTGAAAAAAAAGATTATTGAAACGTGACCGGACCCGATTCGTCGTCGTCGATCTGAGAACCATATTGCCCAATCTGTGCGATTCGTGCGATGAACTCGTCAGCACATACAACGCCTTCGTACGAACATTGTCGAAATAACGATGACATATGCAGCACTGAATTACCATCACTATTACCATCAGCCATTATCACTATCAATTCGAATGTATTCCAAAATAAATCATCCTATGAGCCTCGCTCTCTCAATTCAAATTCATTCGTAAACCAACTAACCCTTCAGCTCAATTTACCAACTACCTACAGTAACCTATAATGGAACAAATGAATAGCAAAAAATGATTACGAACCTGTAGATATGTCCCTTTCTCTTTCAACATTCGGAAGAATCGAACGTAATTACCACTTTGAAATGACGAAAAGAGTCGAAGCGCTAAACGAACTTCTGGTGACTCTCGGATATCGCGTCGATAAGTCAGAACCTCTCTGAAATTATCAAACAAATCCTTAAATCTTGTGTGGAGTAAAACAGATGCACAGTAGTTTTCTCGATAATATTCAACAAAAACATAAATTCTTTTGTCAAAAAATGAAACGGAGCAAATGTCTGTCTCACAATTCACTTTCCTCACAACTGTCAGATATAACCATATAATCTTGCATGCTGTGTACAAAATAATTTACGCACGAAATACAACAACAAGCTGAAGTTCTCATTAAACTAGTTCATCCCAATATCAACTCCACATACCGAAGTATATTGGAATCACTCAGATTCAGCAGGACATCATATGCACGAAATTCGGCTTCAGATGGACACCGCGAACCTCTCTTTGCCAAATCTCCGTACAAATATCGTAAACTTTGAAGACTTTTCGTGAGGTTTTCTGAAATTTAAAACAGCGAAATGAAACTTTCGTAATCTTCTTAAAATTTACAAAAAATAAACATTTCACTCCCAATATTAAAAATGGATCATTGAAATGATCTTCTTTCTAACAATAAGAGTGACTGAAATAATAACAACTTTCAAGTACCCGTATTCATTCTTTGGTCAAATTCATTCAGACCGAGTTCACAAAGACGATGCGATACGAATATATGGAAACGGACGCATTGCTCAATCAGTTTCACAGCCGTATTGTTGATTAGCATTTGTTGAGTTAGATCCTACAAAATGAACAACTCATTAATAAGGCAGCAAAAATCCGCTTCCCATTCATAATGAATCCGACTTGCATCGATATTCCCATTGAAACTGAAGATCTATTTAGCATATTCAGTTAATAATGACTGTGATCGCATTACGGATAATAAAAATCACAATAACAATAATGACAACAAAACAGTCAACATGGCACCGACAACACTGGCGATTATAGTTTAGAAATCGAATGAACACGATAAGTTTGACATACCTTTCGGATGGCCCGAGTCCGATTCCACAGGAAATCATACCACTGCGCAAGTTCCTCGTCTTTTGTTGGAATATTTTCAGCCACCTAAACAGTCATTCGTTTCTTCAAAAATTTCATCTCTCTATCACAATATGCGACTGCTGAATTTTGATCTAATTTTAAAAATGAGTAACTTCGGAAGCAAATTCAACATTTATCGAATCGGAATAATAAGTTCCAGGTATGAGCAATAAAACAAACTTCAACATCATAATGAAATTCTACCATACCATTGTGTGATAGAATTTCATTATCTTTCTAAAAACAATTTTGAAAATTTAAAACAAAATCAATGAAATTCTCTCGTTGAAAAATCTTTATCACTCACCCTACTAAGCAAGTAATTCATCGTTCGTTCAAGTACATCCGACGGCCGCAGCTCGTGGCTCAGAGGTTCCTCCTGAAATGAAAGAATCATTTGAATAATATTCAAGACATCAACAGTCACAATCGAATTCATTTAAAACGCGCTATCGTTTTAGTAACAGGATAAGAATCAAGAGATATCTGCTTTGATCCATATAATCCCCTATTCAACGCTTTCAAAGTTAAATGTGCGTGCAAAATAATGCACCGACCTGATCAGCCGCACTTCTGCTGTAATCTTTAACCGTCAGTTCCGGCAACATCACACCATTTTCATCACATTCGTAAACACTCAATCGTTTCTGTACAACTCGCTGATAACGTTCCTTCTCTGGGCACATATCCGCACAAGTACCCTGAAATCGACTACTGCATTCTTTTCTGATCAACGACTAATTTTGTCTCCACTGAATAATAATACAACCAAAAACACTGGCAAAGCACTCAGCACATAAACCGACGATAATATTAAACAAGAAATTCAAATTATCAACTATGATAATAATTAATAAACTGGAATTATTCATATAATGATATCAAAAAATAATAATGAGGACAATACAACTATAAAACTAGGAAAGATATTATCTAACGGTGCCACAAGATCAACGATCAATTGATCCCACCTGTGTAACGATGGCATTTTCGACATCAGCGCTCTTCACACGTCCTCTGCACATTATTTTATCACGTTCATCCAACACCTGATATTTCGCGTAATCATCTTCACATACGCGATCCATTAGTCGCTTTAGTTGACGAGCTGAACAATAAATTATAAATTCTGATCATTTTCCCAAGCAATGTTGTGATGAATTACTTTAGAGAGAAATTGTCAAAAATTCGTTAGCTCGGAACCCGTTAGACGTTTCCAACATAAAAAACTTTAACAATAATGAAGAAAGTAATCAATTAAAACATTTTACGACGAAATTCAATTAAAACGTTTCACTGAAACCATGAGATTTCCTTACCGACTTCTGCTTTCGATAGTGTACCCTTCGATGTTGATGCTACGCTACTTTTCGTTACAGCACTTGTATTCACACTATTCGATACGGTCTTTTTGGCCATTGCTCCGCCAACCAATTGCTTTTCATTTTCCGATTTTTCCGAATTACCTTTTATTTTTTTCTGCAAAAACAAATTCTTGAAAACGATATTCACATAACGAAGTTATTGCTTAATTCAGCACATTAAACCGCTACTGCTGTCAACTGCACAGATGAAAACACAACTTGACGTTGCACAACAAAAACAAAATCTCTATGAGGAACTGTGTAGTTCAACTGGAAAGCGATTCAATTCATTGCTAGATCCGATTCATTCTGAACGAGTTGAAAAAAGTCACAAGCTACCATCACCCATCGCTAACCTCATTCATGACTTCCCAATTCTTTTTCTTTATCGAATATATGAAAGTATTGACAACGAAAATAAAATAAAATGAAACATAAACTATTCACATTTACCTTCATTATGTTAAGATAACGATTATCAACGCCACTACGTAGCGTTCCAACTCTGGACGTGTTCAGTCGTTTTAAAATTTCAGTTTTTGGTGATGACACACGGCTGGTAGACGCAGCAGCAGTAGCAGCCGTCGAGGAGGCTTTCGATGCAGATGGCGATGTGCTTGAGGTGCTACCACCAGAATTTCGTTTACGAGCCACCAATGCTGCGCGATTCACCGATTGACGTCGGCTCAGAAGTGGCGATGAGGTTGTTCCTGATGAAGATGATGGCTGATTGCGTAGGGCAGCACGATGCTGGATGCCTGACAGCAGTTTTCGTGGACCCGATGGCTTATCTTCAAATTGAACTCACATTTTAAACCAGCAAAACATTAATCATAATTGACACACAACCTCACTCGACCAACTCGAGCGGCCTAATGCTCTATCGTTACATGAAAAGCACTGTTTTATCAGCAGTTTTTCCAGCAAAAGATTAGAACCTAAATCCTTTCGTAACCATGACACTCAACATTAATCCTGTACTTCTACTCAATACTAGGTATTGATTGGCTCTGAACTAAGATGCAATCCGATGCTGGGTTCGGGCAGAAATGAAAGCTGGAGTATCAACACAATATTAACTGATGATCATCACTAATCGTAAGTAAATTGCAGTAATAATGCAAAATAATGAATCCAAGCAAATGATTTCAAATTTGCAGCAAAACGAACTGTCGAGAGCAGACGAGCGTCGTAAAGTAGAGGTTGTTGGTTTGTCTAAATCTCTGAAACTTGCAGGTTTCCTTCGTGGTATGTGAGTGGCAGGCGGATGTGTTAGCGTTGTAGCCGGTCGTCGAATGGCCACTGAACGAAGTGGACGTGGACGTAGCATCCCCCCAGTATCCGATATCCTCTTCGATGGCGAGTCTGCAGAGCCGCCTACTGCCTGACGTAGTTTCAAACTGAAACCAGCAAAAAGTTAACTAGATTGCTGCTGCATCTAGACTGTTTTCGTCCCATAACCAAGGAAATGAATGAGTCTCCTTACGATAATCCGATGAACCCGTTATTGTGCATTGGCATCGAGAGGGAAAGAGTGCAAAAGGGATGTGCGGAATGGTCAGTGAAAGTATTTTAGTATGAAGCCAGGGAATGACACTGATGAGAGAAATTGCCCGACAATAATTACAAATTACCGCATTTAATTGGAAGCACCTTCAACGTAGAGTTGATCGTGTTTAAGTGACGATTCTGAACGGGTAATTTTCTCAACAATAAATTCATAACAAAACATGAAAATGTAAAAGCGATCAAGGAAACGTCATCAGCGCATAATTAACGTTCAACACGAACGAGGCTTGGCAACGAGCGCGATTTCTTGTCGCGGAGGAAGATCTTTTTCCACTGGAAGAAGAGGATTTCTCCGTTTCTGATGGAGAACTACCGAGAAAAAATCCACCCTTTCTCGTTTACAGTGTGATACAAATTANGAAGAGGATTTCTCCGTTTCTGATGGAGAACTACCGAGAAAAAATCCACCCTTTCTCGTTTACAGTGTGATACAAATTAATCGGATGAAATATTCGATTGAATAAATCCAACCGATAAGGAAGTTTACCTGTCGGGTATTTTGAAAGCCATTCTTAATCGTTTTTGAGTTGTGTGGTAATCGTTGAATTATTGGGAACTATATTCGAGAGGCATCAATCACATCGAATTATGGGGAGGAAGTTGAGACTGAAATTTTGAAACTTTTCACTCAATTAAATGAAAAATTAACACGAATCCACTTAAGAAAAATCACCGGAACCAGAAAAATTAGAACTGAATATGTAAATAGAAATTTTTGGAGAAGTTTCTGTGTGGGGAGGACTACCAAATGTTGGCTTTACTTTGTGGCACATTGTCGATCCTTCCGTATTGCCGTTATTTAAAGGCGACCGACAAATACATCTACAATAAATCTAAACTTCGAGAAAAATCACCTATCTACTCAATGATGAGGCTCATACAAATTGTCGCTGTGGCACTTTTTTGTGGAGCAAATTGTCGTAGACCAGTTATTCACAACGTTTTCATGATAATTGGCTCCGTGACAGTGTTACCCCGACAAGTGGCACCGCACAGGCCTACGATAGTACGTGAATTTATCTCATTACTGATTAACAGGGTGCTGCTTGTCGAGGTGGCACCTGTTACGGGGCCAATTATCAGTCAATTATCATCCTTTTCAATTTAGATAGACGGGCGATTTCCCCCTTTAGAAATACTAAAGATAGATTCTCCGGGCGAAGTTTTACAGGGTCTTGGCCATACGTGCAGTTATTCGTTTGGATAAATAAGTCTTGGTGCGGTAATTCCATGCAGTTAGCGCTGATTTAATGTTGTGCTTTGAACAGGCTCCAGCGTTTCAATTCGGGCTAACTTTTAATTTGCTCAGAATGTTTTCTAGCGTAAAATTTATCCAAATCTTCTCAACTAACTTTTTGCATTACCGTTGGGATGACAATGCGCAAAACCCCAATACGTTGATCGCATATAATGCATCGTGTAAACGTTAGCCATGTTTTTGGCCACGTAAAACGGTGACATTAAATTGAACGGTTAATCGCTTAACGCCTTGGACAAAAATGAATGAACGTCGACAGTTAGGATTCAAACAATCTGAACTACATAATTACTGATAATCACTCAAAAAATGAAAGCGGTTTCTTGAAATTCAAACGTGTCCTAATTGCAAACGGAATTGTAACGTTGGCATTTATCGAGTGTTATTGCAGGAGATTTTGTGCTTTTGTTGCGGAATGTTGAGACCACCAAAACGTGATTTGTCGAGGGCTGGTTAGTTTTCATTTGACGATTTTTTACGTTGTTCTGTTCCTCTGATTTTATCGGGTAAGAGTGCATCTGCATGTATTGTATACCGCATTTATTGTGAATTGAAACCTTTCAAGGCTCTGAACGACTTGCGGATTCGTTATGCAGTAATGGTACTAATGAGTTGTCCGAGCGAAGTGACCAGTGTTCGGGAAGCAGTGAATCTGCGAAGAGGGTTTGCCCAGGAACATTGAGTCAACTACTAACTATCGGTCAGTTATAGTTTTATGACCAACTTTTT